ATTTAAGCTTTAACATGCATATAAAACTTTTTATATTAAGAAACTATTTATTAAAATATTATTTATTTTTATTATATTTAAATTTTAATATTAAATCCAAATAAAAATTTGTAACAATTAAAACTCTTAACCTTTCTTTTCTAAGTTTATAAAAAATTACAAAACCAAAGCCTCCATGCCTCAAAAATAAGTGTCTTGGCTTATAGTACTTTTTAACTTATAGAAACCTTCACTTATGTTATTCATCTAAATCAAATTAATAAGCTAACATTTGATTCAGATATATCTACATCACTTCTAAGTATAGCTTCATTTATTTTTGATATATACTTAAGATGTTTAATTAGTATTTGTTTTCTTATCACAAATTTTAGGTTGATTTTTTGTCATATTCTCTAAATTTAAAGATTCTAAAAGAGGGAAAGGCACCAAAATTAATAAAGCACAAATATGATGTTATGCTTAGGAGTAAGATGTGGAGCAAAACTTTGGACTTAGAAAGACAACAAAATAATCAGTTCATAATCAACTCAAAAGCAAATGAAAAGTACAAAGAAAAAATTTTATTTTTAAAAATAATCCATATTTTATTTTTAGGTGTATATATGTCTATGTTAAAATTCTCAATTTATAGTCATTTTTTAAAATTTTTTTATAAAAATAATAGTAATTAATATATATTTTTTCAAATATTAAGAGAATAAATTTATATTTATAAATCTATATCTGTCTATCTATAAAATCTTACCCCAAGCATTAATTAAACAATAATTTTGTCATTTTATTTTAATTATAAAAAAATAAATTTTTTTAAAAGAGAAAAGAATAAATGATTTTTACATAAAAATATAATAAAACATTAAGAATATTATTTTTTAATAATTTATTTCAATTTTTTATTTTCTTCAATTTCTTATCTTCTTCTTAATTATTTTATTATTATTATTTTTAATTATATATAATGTATTAAATTAAAGGAAGAAGAATAGAAACCGATTTTTATTGAGATAACAACAAATTATAAGATTATCATATACAATAATTATCTATACAATACTAAATATCTTAAATGACTTAAATTTATTTTTACTATTTCAAAATTATGTAACTTTTCTTTTCATCTTTCTTTTATATAAAAAATCTTATGTTGATGAATTAAAGGAAGACAAATGTACGAGAGTATGAAAACTAAAATGTTGTAAATATACAAAATTTCAATTATAATTTATTTAAATAATAAAAAATGTAACTTAGATGAACATTATTATATTATAATTGATATGTAATGGAAGATCAAAAGGCACCTAGTTAATAATATAACATATACATGATAATTATTATATTATTTCAATTTTAATTTTAAAATTAATGGTAAAGAAAAAAAACTGAAATAATTTATTAACAACTAAAATATAATTTATATCTATATTAATGCATAAGGTGATATGCATAAAAATTCAATTTATTATTATTATTATTATTATTATTTAATATTACTATTATTACTCAATTCAAAGATAAAAGTACAAGTATGGAAGACAAAAGGTTTGTATGAACAAAAATTTCTTAATGAAAAATGTAAATTCAAATTTTCAATTCTAATTACTATATGATGATTTATTGTTGAAGAAAAAGTAACATGATAAAAATGATAGTTATTGATTTATTGCAACATTAACAATTAATAACACAGGAACACATAAAAAAAACTCAAACAACATCTAACTTTATTATAAGCAAAAAAAAAAGAAAAAAGAACTAAAATAAAACCAATATGGTTAATATAAATAATACTACAAAACCAATGACTTAAGCAACATGATGTAATCAATAAATAAATGACCCTAAATTTGAATTTATTCTACAGTTCAAAAATAAATAAATAAATAATAAAATTTCAAATCCTAGAAAGATATGGAAGATAAGAATATGAGAAAATAAAAAAGTTAAATTCATATTATAAAGTATATTTATTTACAAAATTTATTGTTTTATAACTAAAACAAAATGATAAATTTTAGTGCCTAATTAATGCTTGAGATAGCATTTTATATAATACTAGTTTTTGTTTTGCCCGTGCGTTGGACGGGGTTTTTTTTTTTTTATATTAGAGTTTAAATGTTTTATTATTTTTTATCAACTCTTGAGTTTTATAATGATTTTTAATTAAAAAAATTTTAATTAAGTAATTAAAGTTGAGTTAAAAATTGTGTTTAGTAATTAATAGGAGTATTTTTTTTTAAAAAATTGTATATAATCACATTAAAAAAAATATTAAGAGAATTTAAAAAAGCGCTTAATGTTAATTCTTATATCATATATCTGTTCTTTTTCTTTACTATTATTCTATTTAAAAATTTAGATAATATTTTTTCTTCTTTCAATTAAAAAACTATAATATAGTTAAACATAATTAAATACCTATATGTTTTATATGCATTGTACATGATCCTATTTATACATTAATTTTTATTATTATTAATGTTGTTGTAATAATAATAATAATAATAATTAGTATTATTATTAGTAAATAGCAATTTCAAAAATATGTGTTAAGAAAAATAAAAATAAAGCATATATATATGTAAGCTAAAATAAATAAATAAAAAAGAATCAAATTTTTTTTATTGATTTTGACATTTATAAATATTGACAAATTAATATGGATATTTTTTAAAATTTTCATATTTCTAATTTATTCATCAAAAGGTTTATTTTGCATAATCATTATAACATTTTTTTGTACATCTACATTCAAAATAAATACATATATATACATATTCTATTATTTTTTAAAAAATATTTTTGATAAAAAAAATTCTACATGAAATAAAATCAAACAATTCATACAAAAATCTTCTTCTTTGCCAAGCTCTTTTAGAT